TCTACTCCAGTCATCTCCAGCAAAAATCACCGCAAGCATTCAAGGAACCATTGACCAGTCCAATTTGACTGGTTGCTCTGAACCACCGTGAATTTTGGTAAGTAAAAATTCCTATTATTACTTTGTTGGCCAGCTACGGAAAGGTTTCAGATTCAAGTTTTTAAATTATTACTAAGTTGGTCTTGAGTTTTATGATGGAAGGATGAATATTATCAAGACATAAGCCTTGTGGTCCATACATTCACGTGTGTGATTTCCCCTTTTTAAGGTCCTCTGGATGTTCTTGAAACTTGAGAAGCAGCAAATTATATGTTTTTGACGAGTCCATTCTTCAAAAATCTCAGTCGCTGTTTGTGAACTGAGCATATATAGCTCCTCATGGACAGCACTTGGAAAGTACCAGCTCTGCAATTACCCAATTCATACTGTGGCACATTTCGCTTCCTTCAATAATGATCATTGTCATACGCACACTTACCTACCAAAAATTTGTAGCAAATTCTGATTAATATTCTAGTAAGTTAAACAATTAGTTCGAGATCTAATGGCATTTTTGCAGTTAATAACATGTAAAGATTGTCCTGTTGTTTTACGAGATTCTTTTGATTGTTCCAACAACTATATTCCTATAATTATGGCTCTATTTACTCGGTCATCATTTTACCACAGCATACTGTTAGGTCTTGATCGTATCAGAAACAATGCTTTTGGCCAATGCAAAATAAATCAATGTTACGACCTTTTTCCATTGATTTGGTTTTATTTTTCTTGGAATGTGTCATTAGTGGACTTCGATGCTCGTTTCTATCTGTATATATCATTTTGCAATTCATCCCAATTCAATTAGCCAAGTAGCTAACCCTTTTCTTTATAAATAGTGCTCCTAATTCATTTTTAATCAGGTCTTCTGCAGCTTAATCTTCTTCACAACCATCATCATTTACTTTTGTAACACTCATGGCTTTATGGCGCCTCTGCTTTGTCCTACTCTTCTCCTGACTAGTGCCATTTTTTCTTTCTATTTTGGATCATGCTAAAAGCAAAATTGATTGGTATTTTCCCTTTCAAAAAATGGGTATGTACAGTCATCAAGGATCATCATCAAGTCCTATTATGGAGGTTGAAAATGAAGTTGTCGATCAAGAACTTGAGGTGGAGGAAAATGCTGATGAGATGAGCGAAGAAGAGTTGGATTTAGATATGTTAGAGCAGTCGAATGAAGGAGCAGAAACAAGGCAAAAAGGTGATAATGAAGGAGCAAAACCGTTTGAAAAAAAACAAAGGAAAAAGAAGTCAATAATATGGGAGGATATGAAAATAATAAAGCAGACCAATGGAACAATGAAAGTGCAGTGCAATCACTGCAAAGAGCTGTTTACCAAAATTGCATTTGGAGCCACTTCTCAACACAAGCGTCACCTAAAAAATTGTCTACAAAAGAAGCTGGCTCTTGGAAAAGAAAATCGAAAAAGGCAACAAGTCTTATCCTTCACCGAAGGTCCCTCAGACAGTATAACTTCTACAACTAATTTTTCATATGATCATGCCAAGGTCCGAGAGCTAGCAACTCATATGGTTCTTGTACATGAATATCCTTTCTCTATGTTGGACCATGTTTTTTTTAACAAATTTATGATAGCTGCATCCCCATTTTATAAAAAGATTAACTGGCAAACAGTAAAGGAAGATTGTGTGACTGCTTACATGCTTGAAAAGAGAAGGCTGAGAAATACATTAAAAAGTGTCAACAGGGTTAGTATAACTACAGATTTGTGGAAATCCGGTCAAAAAATTCAATACGTGGTTGTGACGGGGCATTTTTGTGATGACCCCACCTTTCCCTAGGGCGTACCCTAGAGTTTAGCAGACCGTCTGTCCAACTTTCGCCAGGACTCACTCACTCACTTCAAAAGAAAAAGTTATAACTTCGAAAGGAAATGAAACCACAGTTCCAAATTTAGAATGTACATTTATGCACAAGTCTATCTCACATATTCATACATTCCCAAAATACAACAAAAGATTTAAGATCCAAATGACTTCCAACTCTAATTAAGCACTAGCGCGAGTACAATTCACAAAAGTCAAAAACTAGACAACGCTAGCCTGTACCAGCCTCACACCCACACTCGTACCCCCTATAAGAAAAACAAACTAATAGAGTGAGTCAAAACTCAGTGAGGTTCCAAAACTTCATGCAAATCCAAGTAGCAAATTATCCATTGTAAAAACTTGGAATATCAAAGTAGCGAGCATAAGAGTTCATAAAAATTAGCAATAACACTTCAAATAGCAAATCATTAGATATCCAACAATTTCAGGTAAAAGGATACAGTAGCTTTTGCGAGTTAACCACGTCGTAGCTTCATCAAGTAGTAGTTGACACTCCGTCAACTTTCAAGTAGAGTAACCAGTCCAGTAGATCACCACTTAACTCCAAACTCCATCCACCAATCAACCCCCTACCAGGCCCAAACTCCAAATTAATAGTGATGGTAATACTCGAGTATACCGAATCCAGTGGACCATATCCAAAGGATTACACAATAAACAATAAATGATAAACAATAAACAGTATCTATGGTTCGCCAATCTCCTCGACCAAACCCTTACTGGCTCGATTCGACTGACTAACCAATAGGGTTAGGATCCCAGGCAGTATTCAAGTCATGCGCATATATATATATATATATATATATATATATATATCAAACCATTTGTAATCAATGCACAGTAATAAGTCACATTAGGGCAAGTGCGATAAAATACACCCTTACCCTATCAAACAAGTTAAGTACCGTCCAATCTCGTTAACCAAGCAATTCATTCAAATAATAAGTTCAAACATGCATTAGGAAACACTCACCAATGATTTATTGCTTTCCAAAACCAAGCTCAGGCTCAACTCCCTGGCTAGAGTCAAAATCTGCGATAAATGTCGTGTAACAACTTGTAATCAATTAGGGTTTCAAAATATATGATCTCCGCTTAACGAAAATCAAGTAAATAGAACTCATTTAAGTAGTAATCATAATACCTAATAAACCATAGAAAATACGTGCCCGCTCTTTTGGTTTCGATAAAGAAGCGTTTAAAACTTTTAAGTTCGCAACTTGGTATAAAAAACTAGGAAATCGTGTTTAAAGTGGTCGCTACTTTCTCCTTGAAAACTATACACTTTTGAGCAAAATTTCGCTTACAAGTCACCCACAAGGTTAATTTAAGCATCCCTACATAACTAAGTCCCAAATCGAGCACAAGTCACATCCCTATTTCCGCTTTCATTCACTTGTCCCATGAGAGGAAAAATGGGTAGCATTTCCTTTATTTTTACCTAATTTTTCAGCCATTTTCAAGGCTTCACTTTCTTCTTAAATCAGCCCAAGTCAATCACCACAAATAAGAATATAAAGATAGTTCTTAATCTAGGCTAAAACCCATCCAAATTGCAACTCATTTCTAGCAAATAATCATCCAATACCAAAGCTGGAAAATTCTTAAGAAAGCTGGAATTTCCCCTTTTAAAGCTAAAAAGTCACAATAAGACTCCTAATCACCTCACAAGTCTAAAACCAAGCTCAAAACCAACATATTATAGTTAAACAACATAAATCAAGGCTGAAAATTGCAAAATCCTAGCTGAAATTTCATTAATCTACACCAAACCTAGAGTATCATCCATAGTATTCTAAGATTCTCAAGTTATCTATACCCTATTTTGCAAGAATAAGAAAGAGAAAGGAAGTTGTTGAACTTATACCTTCAAAACCTCTTGAGAAGTGAAGAACCAAGCTATTTCTCCAAAGAAACTCTCCACTCCAAGCCTCCTAACTCCCTTGGTGCTAGTTTAATCGGTTTAGTTTTTGTGATTTCAACTTAAACAAGGCAAAATCAAGATGAAGTTGGAAGTTCTCCTCTCTTGTTTTTCTCTCCAATGGTTCAGCCAACATGAAGAAAAAATGTAAGAAAACTTAGCCAAAAGGAAAGATAAGAAGAAAGGAAATGTCTTGGTCAAATATCTCTTTGATTGCCAACACTTGGCAATCAAGTTTCTTTTCTTTTTTTTTTCTTTTCTCACCTTTTCTTTAGTCCAAAATTTTTGACTATTTTAAGGGTTAATTTAAGGAGAATTAAATGAAATAAAATCAAGGAGATTAAGGTAAGAAAATATTGGTCAAGCAGTGTACTCAACCGGTAACAAATGGCGCACGTCGGTTCAAGTCTATTTCCCTTAACTCCCTTGTACTTTTGTTTTAATTTTATGATTCACTAACTTATTTTTATCACTTCTATTCACATACTTTCTCTTACTTAATACTCGCTCTTATCCACCAAATTTAATACACACACCTCACCAACTGATCGCACTACCAAAATGTACAAAAACCCTAGTTTACTCTAATTATACAAGTAAAAGTAAAACTTTCAATTCTATTATTTGTTACAACTATTGAGGGAGTAAATTAGTAGTAAAGGAATTATAAATCAACTTATTCAAAATAAAAGGGAAGTATAAGGAAAAATATAGGTGAATTTTCAAATCCTCACAATTTTGTTGATAGTGATTGGGTATTACAAAAACGGGTCCTAAATTTTTGTAATGTCCTACCTCCTCACACAGGAGTAATTATTGCCAATGCTTTAAGTAAGTGTTTTCTTGAGTGGAGGATTGAGAATAAGGTTTATACTATAACTGTAGACAATGCTTCTTACAATGATGTATGCATTAGGAGACTTAAAGAGGATTTTTCTCTTAGAAAAAGGTTTAAGCATTGGAAAAAAAATTTTCGTGTTAGGTGTTGTGCACATATACTTAATTTGCTTGTTCAAGATGGGTTGAATCAAATTATTGATGTGATTGATGTTGTTCGAGAGGGGATTAAGTAATTGAAAAAATCAGAGTCTCGCCTCAATGACTATGCCAAAATAAAAAAACAGTTTCAATTGCCTTCTAAAAGCTCATTTTGGACTGCCCAACTAGGTGGAATAGCACCTATTTGATGTTGGCATCGGCTCTAGAGTTTAGAGATGTACTTTCAAGATATGGGGACATTGATCCGAGGTTTCACTATGTCTCAAGTGAGTATGAGTGGATGAAAGTTGAAGAAATTTGTAAATTTTTAGGTATTTTTTATGAGATTACTAATATCATTTCTGGATCCGATTACCCAACTACTAACCTTTTTCTTGTAGAGTTGTATAGGATTAAGAAGCTGTTAAATGAAAAAGCTCTTGATTTTTCTGATCATATTAGATCTATGGCTAAAAGTATGGCACAAAAATTTGACAAGTATTGGGGGGTGAGCAATGTTTTGATGTCTTTGGGTGCTATTCTTGATTCGAGGTATAACATGGTCCTTGTTAATCATACTATTCTAGTTATTTATGGCGTGGATGCAACCCCTAGGTATATTGATGAGATTAGACGCATTCTTTATGAACTCTATAATGAATATGTGGATGCTCATCTCATGGTAAGGAACCACAAAGGGAAGTAGGAAAACGAAAACCTGCAGAAATTACAAGTAAATCTACCCAAAGGGATGCTAAAAAGCTTGGAGTTAATGTTCAAACTGGAAAAGAAAAATTTCAGATGATTGTTAGTGAAATTGACAAGGCTCTACCTGAAAAATCAGATTTATATGTCTGTTTGGAAGAGGGCAGTTATGTTTGTGATGCAAACGTAAATCTTGATGTCTTGGGTTGGTGGAAAGGGGAAAGGTGGAGGTTTCCTATATTGTCAAGGATGGCAAGTGATGTACTCACTATTCCAGTTACAACCGTGGCCTTCGAATCTACTTTCAATGTTGGTGGTAGAATAATCGATAATTGGCGTGCTTCTATGTCGGTTGAAACGGTGAAAATGCTACTTTGTGGCAATGATTGGATCCGCAATCTTCATAGGTTAAAAAACAAGTCTCATGTAAATAAAATATATCTTTTACTACTGGTTTATTTTGGTACCTCATTTTACCTTGTTAGGAGTCGTAACTTTCTTATTTTCATTTTGTAGGAACCACTTGATGTTCCCGAATCATCTACAATTGACGAAATTGATCTTCCAAACATCTAAACGCTGGTTTCTGGGATATGTGATGCTGTTTGTTGTTGAATTTGTTTGCATAAAGGTGAAATTTTCTTGTGATTGATTATAGAGCTGGACTTGTGAAGCTGGAACTTTCTATAGATTTGTGAAGCTGGACAAATTTTTAGTTATTTAGCATTGTTTTATATAGTTATTTTGTTGCGGTTTGTGTATTTGTTTAGTTGAATCAAATCCTTGGTCTTATGGATGTTGTCTCCGATAGAATTTGGCTGGAGTTTGTGTGGTTGTTCACTTTTATTCCTGGAATTTGTCTTATGGATGTTATGGTCTCGTATGTTTGTCTCGGATGGAATTTGGCATTCCTGGATGTTATGGCATTGCATTTGGCTTATATGTTGTCTCAGACTCTCAGTTGAATCACCGTGATTTTGGTTAAATTTTATTGAGTCAAGTTTTGTTGAATTCTGGTTCTGGACAGGGTGTAGCATTTATTTGCGTTTGTTCACTGTTTGACAGAATTTTCGAGTTCGAGTTCGAGCTCGAGATCGAACAGCATTTATTTGTGTTTGTTCACTATTTGACAAAAATTTTGAGTTCGGTCGAACTTGTACAAGTTTGATCTCGAGCTCGCTCGAGCTCGGCTCATTTGTGGTAAACGAGTCGAGTACGAGCTTGATCTCGAGTCACATATCCCCTTGACGAGCCGAGTTCGAGCCCAATTTAAGGCTTGTTTTTGTAGTCGAGCGAGCTCGAGCCTGTCCGAGTTGAGTTCGACAGTCCAATACTCGGCTCGATTAACAGCTCTAATGGTATTAAAAAATGTCTGCTCTTACATTATGGTCTATTTTAATGAACGCGGTATTGTAAAAAAATTGTTGTATAAACATTTAAAAGGAAGCTTAATAAATAGCGGATAAACCATAAACAGAGTATTCCATGAAACTAAGTCATCCCATACGATGTTATTAGTAGGTCCCACATATTATTACATGGCAATGCGCCCAATTAAACAAAGGCATCATCTCCCCATTTTTAAAGGACAAATATGTAATTTTAGACTGACACACCTGATAACCAGTATTTTGAAACTTGAACGACTTGATTGGAATTAGGCATTAGGGATCAAAGGGTTCAACCGGAATCGGTCAAGTATGAAAAATTGGATGACATCAGCATGATGTCATTAATATAATTTAGTTAAAAATAAATATACTATGTAAACTACCTAGAAACACGTTAGTATCAAGAAAGGTTTGTTCATATTTGTTTGATGTTTCAAAGATATTTTACAAGAAAATATAAATAAAATAAAATAATCAAGTAGAAATTCAAGGAGAGAGAATATAAATGAAATATCTCGTGTTTAAACCCTCTTACTTACACTATAAAAAAGAAAGTTCAAAATTAAATTTGAGGGCTTAGTTGAAAATACTAGTAGAATTTTGGATTGATGCTATAAATTATAAAATGTTTCTAGGTGTTTTGACAGTTGCCTAGCACACTAAGGGTCAAAACATAAAAATGATAAAATTTGGAGGGAATGTAAGTGAAATGTTTCTCCCAGTTTTTCTCCTTCTTTTCCTCTCATTACTCACATTACCACTGCCCCATTCATTGTTTCCTAGTCCCTGCCTCCCCAACTTTTCTATTCTTAGCACCTCTTTCTTCTTTTCTCCTCTCTTCCTTTTTTCAGTTTCATTTTTGTTACCTTTTCTTCTCAAACTCACAAAATCTAAAACTTTTATCCTTATTGTTTTCACTCTTCTCCATCTCCCTTTCTTGTTTCTTTTTTTTCCTTTTTTTTTTTGTCTTTTTAACTCTTTAAAAGTGAAATCTATGATTAGATCTTATTAGGAAACGCATCTAAGGGTGATTTTGATGGATTGGTGACTGGCTAATTGAAGTAGGAAGTTAGATTTATGCAAAGATGTGAAATCTATTCGTTGGTAATCAAGGCATGTTGTAGAAGGAGGAAAGGGAAAAAAAATAAAGAAGCAAAAGACAAAAAAAATGAAAAAATCGGATTCTTACCGATTCTACCAGTTCACGATCAAATTCAGCTTTTGACCGGATTTTATCAAGTTTTAGGTAGCCGATTTTATCGAAAAACTCGGATAGAATATTTGGCCGATTTCCGATTGAACTAGCAAATCAGTCCGATTTTGAAAACACGGCTGGTAACCTGGAAAACTCGGACTGAATGTCTACCTGATTCCCGATTGAACTAGCTTCTGGTCCGAATTTGACAACACAACTAGTAGCCTCATTGTACGTTATACAAAAGTTCGGCCAATAAGGAATCTTCCCATCTCCAGAACTTAGATTTTCCCTATAAATTTTTACATCATTCATAAAGTAGCCCCAAATTAAGTCTTGGACCGTGAACCATTCACTATTGGGTTGTCAATGTAACAAGTAGGATGGGACCAATAATGGTACAGGGCTCCATAATTATTCTATATGATTTGGTCCATTGGAGATGCAAACTTATTCATATACATAGAAGCCGCAAGAAATAATATAACAATAAAAGAACCAAGACGTGGTGTCGTTTGGTAGAAAATAGGCAACCAAGACGAAATTTGCTTATAAGTTGAGACACTTGTCTTCCACCGTTTCCAATCAATCCCTCCATCCTATTTTTTTAGTCATGTTTGGAGAATTCAACTTTTTAGAAATAGATTTAATTGTGATGTTTATACTTCTTTTTTTAATTTTACACAAATTTAAAATTTAAATTTGAATGACAACATGCATATAATTAAAAAGGACTATATTGAAAAAAAAAACTAAAAAATATTTTAATTTTTCTAGTACGATAATTGTTTTAAAACATCCCAAAATAGAAAGTATGACACTTTCAATGGACGATGCACGATGGAGGAAGTACAAAAAGAGAATCAGAAAATTAGATGTTTCCAATCAATTGCAAAAACTTTGAAAGATGAGAAAGACACATAACGGGCATCGTTCTTCATTCTCCCCCCTTGATAAGACTAAGGGCATCAGACTCGGTGGGAAGTGCCGGGATTGCTCCCTTTTTGGTGGTTGTGATAGCTCCACATGCACATGCAAATCTAAGTACTTCCTTCAACCTGGCTTCATCCTGCAATTAGATAGTAGTAGAATTCAATGCATTACTAGCCAAATTTACAAGTCAAGAAAACAGAGAAAATTTTAAGTTTTGATGATTATATCATAGTTATAGAACCTGGCCCAACCCAACAGTCGAACCAGTCAAGCCAATAAACCAATCATAGGGCTGAACTAGATTGCTAATTAAACCAATTAAGCAATAGATTTGTTGATCAATCAACCACTCGGCAGTTCAATTGATGAATCGATAAAATTTTAAGTTTTGATGATTATACCATAGCTATAAAACCTGACCCAACCCAATAATCGAACCGATCATAGGCCCAAACTGTATTGCTAATTAAACCAGTTAAGCAACAAATTCGTTGACCAATCAATGACTCAGCAATTCAATTGGTGAATTGAAAAAAAAAAATCACTGATTGAACTGCTAGTTGAACAACTAATTTAAAAATTTTACTATTTTTATAATTTAAAATATATTATTATATTATATAATATAACTATTGTGCAACACCCAATTAAACCGATAACCCAGTGATCCGATCACCTCTCCAGGTTAATCTCCGGACCGAATTTAATAACACCATGGATTATACTACAATCAAGCCTCACCTCAAGGATAGCTTGGTTGTCAACAATCTTGCAAAGGAGAGCTCCGACAAAAGAATCACCAGCTCCAGTTGTGTCCACAGTGTTGACATGGAAAGCAGGTACAGATCCATGAAAATTCTAAAAGCCAAAAGCATATGGAATAAGAACCAACTTCAGGAAGAAGAAACCAATAGCCAAATACCAGTCCTCTGGAGGAATATCCTGGGAAGTGGGATGATGTAACCTGTTTAACCTTTTTTTTTTTTTTGGCCAACAGTGTTTTAACCAATTGTTTAGGCTAAAAGTGAAAAAATCCAGATAAGAAAGCATTGCAGTCAACACCAAAGGAAACCACGTGCATGTTTGGTGTTCTAAATACATCTATCTACCTACCAACCCCAAAAATTTACCAAAAACTGTACAACAGGGTTACAACTGACTTTTGACAACATGAGTACTTTCTGCAGGCACAGTGATCTTTTTCAACATTTTCTGGGCCTATCATGATTCATGATCAGCAGCCTTGAGTCATGTGGGTTCAACTTAGCATCTAAGGCAAGCGTTAATTGCATCCAAAGATTGTTGAATTCTTTAATAATCTCACCCACCCACAGCTGTAAAGGTCAAAAGGACATGAGGAATAAATACACACATACCTTGGTATAGTAATTACAACCCTTTTCTCCAAGGGTCACTAATAGGAGCTTCAAGTTCGGGTGCCAGAGGGACATTGCAGATTCATCATCAATCTTGTTACTCCCAGTGAGAAATTCTAACTCCACGTCGCTGACCTTGATGATATCAGCTTTGTCCCAAATACTCAAGATCTGCTTCCGAGCTTCCTCAGCTGATGGCCAGAGTGGTAGGCGAAGATTGGGGTCATATGAAAGTAAAACTCCGGCAGCTTTGGCTGCCTCCATAGCTTTAATATGTGCAGATCTGCATGGCTCCACTATCAAGCTTATTGATCCATAGTGGAAAACTTTAGCCTGTAGAGATTTAGGAAGATAACCAATGCTAAAATACAATTTTAAGTTCACTAATGGCAACAAATTTATGTAGAGTCAACACTTTAGATACAAATTCAGGTGTACAAACTTGAGAAACTTGTCCGTTAATAAACATAAAAATTAGAAAATAGAAGCCCCCATAATCCCATTTTTATGTAAAAGGTATACACCTTGTGTTTTCCAGTGTCATATTGTTCAATGGTTTTAGATCACACATAACAAATAAGGTAGTATGTTGATTAGATTTCAACTTATTACCTAGAGTAACAAAAATATACAAGATCCCTAACAAGCAAATACAAAATTCGTTCTGATAAGCTGCTGGCTCACCCCCAAAAAAAAATTTCTAATTCTATGTGCCTACTATTAAACCAAAGAGTTTTAACTACATCAAAATCAAAACACGTCACGATGCTGTCCAATCACACATTATAAATTTTGATTTGAATAACGTTAAAAGCAAAAAAAATAATAATCAACAAATTTTGCTTTGTGGGACCTGAAATAATTCAGATTCATATAAGTTTTCCTCTTTGATAGTGATGTGCATTGAGATCTGGAAATAGGTGTGTCAATGCCAGCACAATAATGTGTAACCCCACACTAGATATCCCTACGCGCCTATAAAGCTTTCATTGAGCTACTACACAGGCACAAATAAATAAACGAACAGATAAATATCACCGACGAGCACTAAAACTAAAAGTAGCGTGTAGAGTAAAATTCAGGGTGCCCTCTTTTATGCCTTTTTTGTCCTCACAACTTTAAGGGTGGGAGACCTGTCCTAACTTTGCCTCAGCAAAGACTGACAGGTTTCGCCAGCAAATGCAATTCTTTCTACCCAAAATATAGGGTACATGTTAACTATAGTTAAAATTTGGGACAAGTAATTTCGAACTATATGACAACAATTATTTTGTAACGAAAAACCAGAAGGGATAATTTCACAACCCTCCCCTGAGATTTTATGAAATATCACCTAGCTCCCTAGAGATTTTCAAAATCTCACTTAGCACCCCTTGAATTGACATTTTGGTAACATTGGAAGCCCTTCTAACCAAAAGTAATATTAAAAAATTCATGTTTGAGGAGAGAGATTATTTTAGTGCCTTTAATACCCTTAGGCTATAAAAAATGAACATTTTACAAACCAAGTAAAAAGAGTACTAAATTGGAACCATCTTAAAAGTGAAGAGATGAAAATTGATAAGATTTTATGTTACAGCCAATAGTCACTTCTACAGTAGGAAGAGATAGTAAAAGCAAATATTATTTTTTAAACAATTTCTACAAATAGAACCCTTCATAGTGTTAAAGATAATTAGTATGTAAAATCATACATTTGAGCAAAAAAAACTTAATAATAGATGAAATTCAACTTCAATATCATACAAAAAATTTACTCAAAATAGACAGACTTTTTTTATGGGCATGAAATATGAAAATTTTATTATAGAAAAAGTCAGAATTTGAAATTTGGAGTTGTGCTCTACATGAATAGGAATAAATAAATAAAGTTGTGAAACACCAAAAAAGGGCAAAAATAAAAAGAACCTGCAACTATTCTTCTCCAAATGCATTGAATATTTCATTGATTAAATCCTATATTTCATTGACATTTGCAATTCAATTATACATACATATATATATGTAAATGTATATGTATGTATGTATGTATATATGTTTATATAGACATTGTTAAAGAAAAGTAGGAAATTTAGAGAAAGAAAAATAAGTTCAGAAAGTTTAAATATGAGGGTATTATTGACAATTCATTACCTTTGATATTAGTATATGGCCCTACTATCATTTCAAGGGTGCTAAGTGAGATTTTGAAAAGTTTAGGGGAACTAGGTGATATTTCATGAAACCTCAAGGGAGGTTTCTGAAATTATCCCAAACCAGAAATACGGGGTGCATGTTAACTACAGTTAAATTTTGGGACGACAATTTTGACCTATATGACAGCAATTATTTAGCAGCGGAAGGCCAGCAAAAGTACTTTGTGCCCACTTTTGCAAGCTGTTGACGTGCTCACAGTTTTAGGGGAAGGAGACATTAATTTCCCTCCCAAAAAAAAAAAAAAAAAAAACCAACAGCTGCCGCCAGCAGATGCAAAATTTACTCAACAAAATAGATGGTATGTGTCGGTTATAATTACAGTTTGGTACAAAACAGCTAACACTCAGGATTAAAATTAGGCGCAGTTATGTAGTTTTGTTTTTAATAGGATTCTAGATTATAGTCAAAATCGACTAGTACAACAAAACTACACATGCATCAAATCAATATATTTTTCTACAAAAAAAAATTTCAAAAAATGACAATCCAAATGACTACTTTGTACTACAATTAACATTACATCAATTCCCATATACCATTTATAATGGAACAAATACAGCTTACTTGCCAATACTGTGTTGGATTAAACTATGTATCTCATCACATAAAGTTCGATTTTTTTTTTGTTTTGAAACTTTAATCACTAATTAAGGTAGACTTGGCCATGTTATTGACCCAATGAATAATTTCAAGATCGATAATTATGATTTAAGATCGAATCTTGGAGAGGCAAGAGCTTAAGTTTTGGTCGCACAAAAGATTTAGGGGGCAAAAAGACACATATCTAACCAATAAATCCTCAACAGACTCATCACCATTAAATTTACTTTAAGAGCCAAAAAAATATTCCAGCATCATCAGAAAACAAAATCAGAAAAAAAAAAAAGAAACATAGAAAAAAGCCAAGAAATCCCACACATTATTTAAATATCCCAAATAAAAACTGAAGAACATATCGAAAATTGAGTCAACAGAACTCCGGGCCCCATTTCCGGGTCCCACCCACCACAACCACCTCAGCAAATATTTCAGTGGCGCGTGAGATTCAACTTCACCCATCCAAGATTCCAAACAAATTCGGATCCCATTGATCTCCCTAGATTCATCCTAAAGATAAAAGATCACGCACTACACACAAAAAACACACTTATATAGTTATATTTACGATAGTACAATTTATTTCCTTTTTTATCAATTTTCTTAATTTCTCCCACATTACTAGTGATAAATTTCTAATTGTATATTCAAATTTTTAACTTTTCAAAAAAAAAAAACTTACAGATCTAATGAGGTCGAGATTCAACTCCTCCGGGGTCAACAGCATATCAGCACTGGGATTCCTATAAAACATAAACTCACGCTCACCGTCGGCGCGTAGAGTGACGAACGCCAAGGCAGTCCTGGCGCCCTTATCGAAGTTGATGCCTTCGCCGGAAACGCCGTTTTCTTTAAGAATTCCGGCGAGCATGTGCCCAAACTCGTCGTCACCCAGCTTCCCGACAAACGCCGCCTTCCCGCCAAGTCTCGCCACGGCTATGGCGACGTTCGCCGGAGCACCACCGGGCGCCTTCAGGAACCCGGGAGCCTCCGCCAGCGAGACGCCGGAAACCGTCGGCACAAAGTCAATCAGCATCTCTCCGAAGCTGACGATCAAGCTTGAACTTCCTCCATTTCCGAATGCCATGATGATGATGATATATAAATTATATATTATTACGCAAAAAAAATAATAATTGGGGATTTATATATCTATATATATATATATATATATATATATATATTTGTATGAATGAAGGGAAGTATAGAGAATTGAGAGAGGAGAGAAGGAAGAAATGTGTAGACTTCGAAGCGCTTTATATAGAGCAGTGGCTGGGCTGGATGGGTGGGAGAAAAATAAGCCGGAAATTAATAAATAAAGTTATTTGGTGATTTTCGATTAGTTTTGGTATGGGATAAATTTGGATAGAGATTTGGAGTATTGGGGATGAGAGTAACTGCGGATTGGAGATTTTTTTTTTCCTTTTAATGAATTCTGACTTATATTACACGTAATCTTTCATGTGTCCCACTTGAAGTTAAACTCTAAAATGTTAGTACAAATTGGAAATTAATTATTTTTTTTCTAAAATAATTGGTTTAAGTATATATATATATATATATATAAGTAACTATTTTAATTAGAGTGTTTCTCACTCCTACGTGGCATGCTTAAATGAAGAAAATTAATGAGTTACGAGTCATTTGAGTTTATCTATATTGAATATTATATTATATATTTAAAAATTATCCCTAATTTTAAGATAAATTTAAAAAATAACTAATCTTATCTTAATGATATCTAAAATAACTTTTAAAAAATAACTAATCTTATCTTAATCATATCTGCTTTCTATGAAATTATTACATACAAGTATAGTAAAGCATTTTTCAAATTACAATTATTAAAATCTTATATATTCCATAAATTACTTCCTTCATCACCATATCGTTGATTAGTATTCAAATTATTCATCATCTCTTTTCTTAATTTTGAATTAACTTAGTGTAAAAAAGAAAATTAATTATTACACCCACAAAATTACCAATATTGTTGGAAACTAAATATTTATTGATGAAAAAAAGTGGATTGTTGGATCTTTTCTACTTAATTAAATGTGAATATATAGTTCTAGATTTATGATCATTATAAAAATTTAAATTACCTAAAAAATATTTATATAAAAAAAAAGAATATCTACAAAGTTTTTGATATGGGATACATTATTTGATGTATACTATCATATTATAGTGAAAATATGTAAACAAATTTTAAAAAATTAATAAATAATTGAACATTTAGAATATATTAATTTTTTAAAATTAATATGAATGGACATGTAGGATTGTTGTTAATTTTTGTATTTAAATTATTCATATTTTGTCTTTTTTTTTATTAGTTTTGATGTACTTAGAATGTAGCGAGACAACGTATGGCAAAAAAAAAAAAAAGAAGACAATGTAGGGGAAAATCGAAAATCATAGTGAATGATGGAAAAAAGTGATACTTATCCGATTTAGACATTTGGATTCCAAAAAAAAGTGCCTGAATTGAATAAGAAATAAAGTTGATATCTTTATCATGAAAGATTGAGACCGAAAATAAATGATAAGAATAATTTCGGATAATTGTGAATTAGTAGAAGATCTATTACAACTAGTGCTAAAGGCACACCGATATGTGTGCAATTTAAGAATAAATTAATTTTTATGAAATTTTGTTTAATGAATTGATAGTTATTTTCGTAGTTATCTTGATAATTAAGGGTTAATGGATAAGGGTTTATAGATAAGGTTAATACCAAATTAATTAAAAGTTAATGGATAAAATTAACAAGAAGTTAACACCAAATTAACTCTAGAGACGCTTTATTATCGTAAAGATGTTGATTATAGGTCAAACAGTTGCGGATTAGTTATAATCTTATCCAAATAAAATGTAAAAAACATGCGAACAAAGTCAACGGTGGAGTGAGGAACATCAATTTAGCTACTTATATCCCACAAACATGATAACATACGGATTCCAATCAGTTTAAAAAAAGGAAGCCTTTTCGGTTGAAATTTAGCAACAAGTGTTGCCACAACCAGATAACTATTTCTATACAAAAATACGGAAATGATATTTAGCATTTATCAAAAAATCTCAAGCACTCCTTACACTTCATCTAATGCAAAAGAAAAAAAAGGAGTGCCTCAAGTTTTATGAGGACTGCTAAAATAAGTTTAAGGAGTGCCTGAATTTTTATTTTTTTTTTGAGACTGCTATCACCAAAAATACTAATACAAGTTTAAGTAGTATCTGAAGTTTTTTGAAGAGTGCTAACTAAAATACCAGTGGCAAAAAGGGTATTAGCAAAGATGAAAAAGCCCTTTTTCTATGTAAATGTAAACTTGAACTTGAAATTTGGTTCCCTTTTCTTTCTTTACAATCTTTCAAGAAGAGAGTAATATCAAATAAACAACGAGAAACAAAAAATTGGCAATGAAGAAAGAGTAAAGGTTGTGTTTGGATTGCATTTTCCGTGATTTTTCATGGAAAAATTACTGTAGCGATTTGATGTATGTGAGGAAAAAAGGTAATAGGAAAATGTGATAACGGAAAACGACGTAATTTTTCGACGGAAACCGGCAATCCAAACAAGGCGTAAACATTTCACTCATTTTTTTTCTTTTTTTGTTCTATAAACATTATTTTGTCAGAAACTCAGAATTACGATGTATACTTCTCTATTGGAAGCTCATTCTCTCCTCGTCTTATAAACTCCTCCATCCATTGAATAGGGGAAGCCAGACCAAAAACGGTCTCTCCCATGGGAAGGATCCTATCCTATAATTTTTTCCTTATTTGTCAAAATAAAGGGATAATTTCAGAAAGTTCTCCTAAGGTTTCAAATAATTTCACTTAACTCCTTTTAAGTTTAAAAAATTACACTGACTACTCTTCTGTTTTTTAAGTAACAATATAGACACAACAGTCTGAATCATGTTGAAATGTCCCAAAATACCCTTTTGAAATGCTATACCTCAAAAGAAATTGGTAAATAGGTTTACTCATCAATTAAAAAAAAATACTATAAATTTTAGAATTCACCCATGCTATGCCTACAACAAGAATGTTAACCCAAAAGCCTTACCATATTAATCAAGCAAACTCAAATTTATAATCCAAATTCTAATGATTTTGCCATTCCCGAAATCCCCCACTCTCCCTGAATTGCTTTCTTTGCAAATTAACCATAATCACCCACCGAAACACCCTGTAAAAGCTTCCCACAATCTCATCATTCTCAAGCCAACACTGTATTGGCTCTGTTAATCAATACTTACACCCCATATCATGAAACCAACGCCTAAAATAGAGAAAAAAAAAAAAAAAAAAAACCTGTCCAACTAACACACTCGTGTCAATATTAAGTGCGGCCTCAAGCTCTTATGGCGCTTAGGAACAGAGAACAATCTCCATAGCAAATTACCACAAACAGTTGTAAATCCACCAAAAAAAAAGCCCATAGAAGATATCAATATCCTACTGTGTAACAAGACATAATAGCATAGCCCTATCTCACTCCTATTCGCCTTCTAGCTATCACCCATCAGTTTGATTTATTTTCCTTACACATCTATCTTCTTAATCTCCATCTAATTCGACTATGAAATTCGATCAACTTCCTTAACTTGAGGTTTTAACAATTTTGATTCTTTAACATATGCAACCCATAAGTATGAAAAAGAAAAAAGAGTTGCTAATAGTACAATAACGAGGAAAGAGATAAGAAAATAAGAAATAAACACTTTTTTTTGTCTACTGTCACCATCTACACCTACTCCTACTTTTAGCCCTACTCTAATCTATATTAGGGGATGACCCAACAGGATTACGGAAAACTGACGGGGAGTGAACCATCATCGGACTATATAGATGCACTAAGCATCCATATAGATCTAAGAGAAGCCACGCTAAATGGCAATTTTGATAGAATGCAACGTTTGAACTTTTGACCTCACAACCCACAGGCCATGTAGTGGCAAACTACTCTAGAAGTAGTTGGTTAAATAAGAAATAAACACTATTAGGTGGTGGATTTGTATGTTGGTAGATAGAAGAGATGATGGTGTTAATGGATAGAAGGTGAGAAGAGATAGAAGAGAATGGAAAGGATACAAGAGGAGTTGCAAGCGACAGGTTTTTCTAACCTGTCGTTTTTCCCTTTTGTTTGGTTTTATATATATCCTTCCCAAGTGGTAAATTATCAATTAAGTAGACGATATTATAGTCATTTCGTTACTCTAAGGGAGGTCAATGTAATTTTCTAAACCTAAAGGGAGTTAATTAAGTGAAGTTGTTAGAAATCTCAAGAGAGGTTGATGAAATTATCTCCAAAATAAATTTGCTTTTGTGGGATTTCTTAGTAAAATTTCTTCTCTCCTGGATTTTTAACTGAGAGTCTCATCTCTCTTATTGTATGAGAAGACTTTATTGTGAGAGCTTTTCTTTAGTTTTACATTAAATTTCTTGTTAGACATGAGATTTTTGGGATTTTTTTTTCTTATATTTGAAATTTCTCATATTTATTTTGTCTGATTTAAACCTTTTTTATTCAACTTGAAACAGTTTGCCATTAGATTTTACTATTGGAGACATGGACATATCATCTGTTGGATTGCAAAGATTTATCTGGACCTAAAACATATTTTTGAGCTTCAACGTGTTATCAATGTGTTACTTTTGTTGATTTTTAACATTCGTTGTATTTTTTGACTTTAAGATTTGTTTATAAATGTTGCATGTTTGATATATTTTTTACGACTGGTACATATTCATAATAATGACACTGTATTAATTATTTATAGAGAAACATAATTTCATTGTAATAAATCTGCACTAATGGAAGAAAATAATGACAAATATATATATATATATATATATATATATATATATCAAATATGCAGCACATACAAAGGGATTTGGAAATCAATAGATACACCACAAAATATGAAAAATCAACAAATTAAGATAACACCTTAAAATTCCAAAAATATCTTCCAAATTCAAATGAATTATTGCAACCTAGCACACAATCTGTGATTGCCTTCCAAAATTGTTTCAAGTTCAACGAGATAATTTAGATGTGACCAATTGATTTGAGAAATGGATCTAACAAAGGAGGAAATTTATCATTTAAATTGATTTGTTGAACTTTCTTTTG